CCGGTAAAGGAAAATTAAAAAAGGGGGGGGGGGGGGAGTTGGGTTACAGGTTCAAGTACCAGCTCCAGATGGCTGTTTGCCACACTCACCGCCTGGCCCTGTCTCCGATCCGCAGACCAGGATGGGCCCGGATCCCCCACATGTTTGGGCGCAGACATAGACCGGCACGGTATAAAAGACTTATAATCCACCGAGCGACCCTGAATTTACCGACCACCGTCTCAACGGATGTGCCGAACAGCTCAGAAGGCAAAACCGGCGTATCGAGAAGAAAGCGTTTCTCTTTCTCCCCGATGTCCACCAAGTTCACCCACAGATGTCTCTCAGTGGCCACCATCACCGCCATGGACCTGCCGATCGCGGCAGCTGTCTGCTTGGTGGCCCTGAGCGCCAGATCTGTGGTGCGGCGCAGCTCGGTCACTGCCTCAGGGGAAAGCCCCTGACCCTGGTCTAGGTCTTTCAGCAAATCAGCCTGGTATGCCTGCAATACTGCCATCGTATGCAAGGCAGCACCAGCCTGACCTGCTGCCGCGTATGCCCTACCATCGGGGCATCGACGCATATCCGCGCTCACACATCCCCTCGATGTCAGCATAATTAGACTTATGCTGGTATTGATGGATGCGGGCTGAATATGGTTTATCCCATGCCTTCTCGATCTCAATATGGAGATCTGGAAGGAATGGGAGGCTCACGGGTGCTGGGCGGTTATGTCCAGAAAGAAATCGTTCATCCAGTCTGCCATGACCGATTTCCCCTTTCTCGCGCCTCCCCTGCCTCAGCAGCGGCAGGACCCGAGCCGCGGGGGGCAGATGATTGTCCCAATTCCCTCGAAAAAAGGGACAAACGAGATTGGAGCTTTCTCACTGAGAACTGCTCACAATGAACGCATTCCGCTCCCTCGAGAACAGAACGCGCGTGCTCTTCGCCCAAACACATAACGCAAAGGTTGTGTGCATCATCTGGTGTCAGATAGCGCTGACACGGATCTGCACATCTCCTAAAGCGTCTCACAACAGACATCGTTTCCTTACCAATCCCACTCCAGAAACAAGGATCCCTGAAGACAAAAAAGGGGATGACATATTCCACAGGTGCTCCTTTTATACTCGCAGTCGCTCATTTGCTTATGTCACGGGCTTCCACCTGCCAATGTCAAGTTCATTGTCGTTTTTTCATTCATGCTTCAGACACCGGTCAACCTGAAGGTGTTCCCCTAGCGCCCTCTAGAGGATGCAGCGTTGAGTTCCCTTTCGAAAGGGAATCGCCTTTAAAGTTGTCCAAATGAAGTTCTTAGCAATGCATATTACTAATCAAAAATTAGGTTTTAGGTAGGAAATTTACAAAATATCTTCATGTTACATGATTTTTACTTAATATCCTAATGATTTTTGGCATAAAAGAAAAATCGATAATTTTGACCCATACAATGTTTTTTTGGCTATTGCTAAAAATATACCCTAGCAACTTAAGACTGGTTTTGTGGTCCAGGGTCACATTTATCAATCAGGATATAGTTAGATTTATTGTTATTTCTTGCAAAATAGTCTGTACATGTAATATTATTTGTACTTTTTTCAAAACTTTCAAACAAGGTTTTTCAAGCTAACATTCAAAGTTTGTCTTTTCTTTACACAGTTTAGAAACACACACACACACACACACACACTGAAATTGTACTGGTTATTTTCTGCCAGGAATATTATCCATTAATTTTACGGAAATTTCCGTAATTCTGAATACAGGTAAAGCACCTACAAAACAATCTATGCGGAAATACGGTACATTGTGCCCTATATTTACAGATTTTTTTTAGAGTGTAGTTAAAATTTTGCATTTTAGTTCATTTAATTCTATAAATAGACACACACAGACAGACAGACAGACAAATAGCCTGTACTTACAACTTTTGTGCAGGAATAAATTCTGATCACAAAGTTAGTATTTCAGTTATTTTCCTATAGACTCATTCATCTTGTGAATGTATATGCTTTTTCAAAAGCACTATTTTTGTCTTTAGGGGTAAAACTTTTTAATGAGGAACAAATTACTGAGTGCATCATTAGTGGCTTATGTAAAATGTTCTATTTTCAAGGTATTGCTGAACTTTTAATACCTGGGAATTTGGTTTGTAGTTACATGCCAAAGATGGAAGGAAGATAGAGGCTAACAGTTAAAGCGGAAATAAGCTCAAGAAGAAGAAGAGCTGGAGATAGAAAAGTCAAGATGTCAGTAGATGAATAGACAGAGTGTGAGTTAAAGCTAAACCCGGGAATAGGATGACGAAAAGCAGGATAGAAGAGAAAAAGGGAAGTTATATAGTGAGCTGTAAAATTTAGCTTAAACTTTTTTTCCTTTCTTCTCCTCCATCCATCTTCAGTTCCACCTACAGATGCCTCGCTTACCTTCTCTATTCATTTATCTGCCCTGAATGCATCACACATGCATCTGTTTGTCTGCTTAAAAACCCAGTCTAAGGGCTTCAGTGGTTTACATTGTTTACATACATGCTACATAACATTATCTTTCAATGTGAGACACACATACTGTATAACATTGACTTCCACAAACCTCTTTTACGCGTCATATGTTTCACATCATGAGAACACCATATACAGTACTAGCATGAACACCAAAAAGTGTGTAGTTTGCAGTTGTGACTGTTGTAGAATCGATACCTCCCTTACTCCCACTGCATGGTTAAAATACACGTGTGCATGCTCTGATTTGCCCACGAGGCTCAACCACAGTCCCTCTGCAACACCCACTCAGTTGTGTTGCTGCTTGTGCCAACTTGTGCCAGCCCAATCTTCACTCCAAACGGAGGCGTTTTGCTATCAACACGGTCAATACAGTAGCCCAATGCATAGTGAGTTACTCGCAGGGAGCCTATTTCTAACTTAGATGCAGCAAAAATGACATTACAGTTAAATTTCTGACTGTAAAAAAGTTTTGCTTTCAGATTAGCCTCTCTAAAGCCACTAAACTACTAAAAACTGTGAGGAAAACCAAAAATATGATTAGGAGTGTCTTAACATTACAAATGTAACTAATCAGGGCTCAACAATAAAGATGGCCCCAAAAACACGGTTTCTATTGCTTTGATGAACATTTTTACTTATGCAAAAATTCAGAAAGACTTTATCAAGTATTTACATTCAGGTTTCTTCAAAAGAAATTTGAAAATTGCATTAAAATGCTTTGATGGAAACCCATCATTTGCATGCATATACATCATTTGTATTTGCATGCCTTGCAAGCATAAACATTTGGTTTACTTTGATGTATCATCAGACTGCCAAACAAAGAGGTGTGATTCATCACTCCACAGAACACGTTTTCACTGCTACAGAGTCCAGTGGAGGCCTGTTTTACACCACTCCATCTGACGAGTGGCATTGTACTTGGTAATGTGAGGCTTGCATGCAGCTGCTCGGCCATGGAAACCCATTCCATGAAGCTCCCGCCGCACAGTTTTTGTGGTGATATTAAAGCCAGTATTAATAGCTGTGTTTCATTGTCCCAGGACATTTTATTTTTTAAATGCGCACCAAACAATGAAGGATGTTTGGTTTGGCACATAAATTGTGTTTTTGGTTTTAAAATATGTGATCTTGCTCTTTTATTGTCATCCCATCTCTTATATCCTATTACATTTGTCATGATTGTGTTATGGCTGTTTCTCTCAACAAAGGCATAGATATGTGTGTAGGCATATGTGTTCTTCCTTGTGTGTGTATGAGTGTGAAGACACACCTGTAGAACCAGAGTGGTCTTTTTTTTATCACAGGCAGTCACACTTCTCTTCTCTTCTCCCTGCTAATCGTCCACCAAGTGAGAGGCCACAAACCATGCCAGAAACACACATACACACCCCACTGAAATAACAGGTGTGTGTGTGTCTGTTTGTGTGTGTGTGCCATAATATCTGCATTATAACAGCCAGATTCCCTGTAACAAAATGGGCTTGAGTCTGATACAAATATGTCCTGCTGTCTGTAATTACATGCTGCTTGTGGTAAATGTTTAGGATGCCAGCCAATTTCATGAGCAAGTGTGACTGAAGGAAATTATGCAATAGCAATGTCTGCAGAAGAGAGTTGGATCCTGGCGTTCCTAAATTTTGGATGGTTTGACAGATTATTAAATAATTCAGAAGTTGTATGTGCTGTTCTCTCTTGGACCGATTTGAACATTAGCATAATTTCAACAAAATGTGATGCCCACCACATAATTAAGGCAAATTATGTTCATTTCAATCTGATAATGGTTTGAGTGACCTTACAATGAGAATATTTGAAGTCTAAAGGGTTGTTTTTGCAAACAAGGCACAATGAAGTAGAAATGTGCACATCTTACCCAAAAGATTGTGTATTTACATATAAATTCAGGTATTAATTAATTGGCATTACGTCTCAGATTGCAGTGGTGTGACAATTCAGAACAGAGCTTTAAATAAATATTTTTTGTCATTTAATAATGATGAGCTGCGAATGAGGTGCTGAAAATATCTCTGTAGAAATATGTGTGTGTGCCAGTGCCATCTAGGCCCCAGGTAACAAATGACTTCCTCTGGTAATTGCTGTAATGAAGCAGGGAGGAGAGCTGTGGAATTCTTAATAGGTGTGCGCAGAATGTAAGTGTTCACAAAATAGGTACAGAGGAGAGCAAGACAATAGGTGAGATGGGAAGTGAGAAGGGAGTAAGATGGGAAGATAGATGTCTGGTGAGCTAGCCATGGAAAGAGTGTCGTGTTTGTCTGTTTTCTCTTGCTTCTTGTCAGGGTTTTGAGCCCTAACAAATCGTCAGAGCCATGTCATAATCCCTGTGCTTAAATTCTTGTTTTCACTGAGACTGGGATGGCTGTATGTTTGTGTCAGAGCAGCACGCTTGTTAATAGGATGCAGGCGCATCATGCACCTGTTTATTGTAGAGGGCACCAGTGGCAGGAATAAAATAATTTTAACAACGTAGTAGTTTATTTTATATGTGTAAAACATGTTAGTCCAGTGATAAACAAAGAGACCCAGATTAAAATCCTGGCTGAGAAAACAATATATGTGTGTACTGTGTATATTTATACACACACATACATGTATATATTTAAGAAATATTTACGTATGTGTGTGTGTACACTATATATATATATATATATATATATATATTTCTTAAATATATGCATGCACGTGTGTGTATTTATATATAAATATACACAGTACACACATATATTATATTATATTATAAGAATAAGAATAAATAAATGTATATTTCTTAATAATATTAAATATATTTATTTTTAATTCATTTTAATCATTTTAATAAAGAAATATGTATGTAGTGTATGTCATGCTATTTTTATTTGTATAAAAAAGAGCCAAATTGACATTTTCATAACAATTTGTGTTTTTCAATTTCACCAGGAATGACCAAATTTATGCATATAAATAGGTGATTTCTGGCCGCTGAGCTTTAGCCAAACATTTTTTAACTACGATATTCATTCAACTTCATTATCAGAGAAATACAAATATGTGCATGACCATTCAAGATGTTTGCAATAACAGATGCAATAACAGATGTCACATGAGATAAGTACATTGTGCTGCAGCTCCTTATCAGCACAGAGAGAACCCTGGGTGAGAACACGCTTGTATTAATGTAGTGGGTCGGAATGTCTCTAAAGTGATGTTCTTCCACCTACACACATTCACACCTTCTTCAGAACAGCAATCTCTC